TACAAAACCCAACGAGAAAATAAAAATTTCTTTTCAGTCTAACCGGCAAATCACATTGAGAATAAATTATTATAGTTACTGACAAATAAAACATACGGGAAGCGGATAACATATTTATTGGATTTATAATAATAATAATATAACAGATATGTTAAACCCCTATGCATTATGGTCAGTACAAAAGTTAGTAATCGAATATTTTTTTAATTTATTTTTTTTTTAATAATTTATTAAAATGTTATTATTATTATTGTCAAACTATCAACAAACACTATGATTGTCTGTTGGTTAAGTAAGGTTAAAGAACTGGACTAGTTTAGATATTATTTTATACATAAATAAATTTATTCTTTTAATAATATCTATGAATATCTATTATATCAAATACTTAATATTGTTTAGTCTTTTCTTTGCTTGTAATGACTGCTGGTTCATGAGAACATATTGTTATTACCGGAATCGTGGTATTGAAATTATTGTATCTTCGCAGACCCTCTAATATAATTTGAACGCTCGCTACAACTCTTACTACAAATGGCGTGATTAAATAAGATAGTTTAATAGGAAATACAATTAGCGATATATTGTTACACATGATACATTTAACGAAAACATGAAAAATAATAGATACTAGTAAAGAAATCACTTGGTTAATTTGGTAACATATCTTATATATTTCAACAAAATATTTTAACATGAATAAGTACACACTATATAATATAGTGCTAGAATATAAGCAGAATATACCGGTAACCAGTGGTAGGGGGCAGTGGTTAATGGTGTTGTTCAAGGCGTACACAACATTATAACGTAAATATTTTAGCTGAACACATTAACACACCCGATCAACATTATTTACGTTGTGCATACAATATAATAAATTTAATTCACCAATTTCCCGAAAAAAAACCAATTATAATAATTATAATAATAATAAACAAAAATAAACAGTACACTACACTTAACGTTTACAAGTTTTATTAATGATATCAATCACATGGTTACAAATACAACTAGTATGAATTTAAATATTTCGAGAATACTAATACCCCACCCCCCGGTTTATCTAAAATAAAGAGAAGAAATTGCAAGCTCAAAATTACGCAATAAAGTCTAATACCTAATTAATAATTAATTATAAGTTTAGAATATTTTATATTTATTGGAGAAACACACTTAACGATAAGGGGGACAAATAGAATACGCATAAACACATTGAATTATGTACCTACACAATAACCCTTAATCGTTTACATAATTATTTGTCTATAGATTAAAATAAAACCGCACTTTATTTCCTATGAGCCTAGAGACACACATTTCTAGTCGCATGGGAACGAGAGACACTCTCAATATTCATTATCAGTCTCATAAAAAAACATCATTATCAATCAATAGGCTCTGCGATTTTAAGGATCACATTAAAAATAAAATAACGCTTTGCTTAAAATTAACTTTTTCATAAATATTACACTCGTTTTTAAAAAAAAAAACTTTTTTATCAGTTTTATTCTTTAAATATTTAACTAATTGAACATCGTGGCACTTTTTAATCACAAATCTGTGTTTCGATATGAATTCGACATAACAAATAGGTAAAATGATGAATATAGGTAATGAAAAGTTAACACATAAGAATAAAACTTAAAATATGAAACACAATAAACCCCCTTTTTACTTTTTAATTTAAAATTTTACATATCTTACTATCATTTATTGTTTATATTTTATTTTTTTTGATTATGAAATATTTTATATATTTTAAATATGTATTCCTTTTATGTGTCGTTTTTAAAAATACAATAAAATGCATACGACAAACACATGGTCAATTTTAATTGAATTAAAAGGTTTTAATGAGAATTTTTAAATTCTACTGAGGTAATCACCCATGAGGAACTTTGTAAATAAACTAAAGAATTATCAATAACATCAAATTATGTATCTATATAATATATATACACATATAAATATAATATATATATATTATACAAAAATAAAAACTAAAGAAAACAAATGGATAAAATGAGTATTGCTTAAAAAGGACTATAATGTTTAGGAATGCACTCATGAATGGCTAAGAGTATGCGAATGATTACGGGTCAGACTAATTCAGTAGGAAGTATAATACCCGAATATACAATCAAAATCAAAACGAATGTTTAAGTTAAAATCACATATGGGACCGACATTTCAATATGTAGAAGTATAATGCATTAAATTCTGAGGAAAATAGTTTTTTCTAGCTCATATAAATGATTAGAAGATGGGGTTAAGGAGAATTAGGGATTTAGTACGTTGTCGCAATTCATTATAAGTTTATACTATTTGTTACACATAGGTCATACATACATTTCGGTTAATAAAAGTGATTATTGCTTAATAGTTTAGACAAATAAAAAAATGCCAGGAGTGTTAAATTATTTATTTTTTTTTTTGTGAATTTTTTTTTATTAATATCACAAAAATAAGTGAGCAGTGAAATGTTAATATACATATATTTATATATATATATATTAGTTATAATGCATTAATAATTATTTGACTATGACTTTTCATGGTAATACAAGATCACAATGCTCTGTGGCAAAAGCACAAAATTATAATTATATAATTACTACATACCCCTGACACAACCCCGACTCTCATACACACCTTAACTTATATCTAATCTTAGAAAAAGATTCCATTATGTAAAATAACTTTTTTATAATAATTATCAATTATAAATAATCTATAAAATAGAAGGACGATTTGTATATAGTTAACACATGTGACAAATTATCTTAAAAATAATGTTATTTAGCTTAAAAAACTATTGACTAAAAATTAACCACACATTAATTTTTTTACATTTTTTTCTTTCAATTTTGGTTATTTAGTTTAAGTTTTAATTTTTAGCAAAAAAAAAAAATATATATATATAATATAATCATAATATAATAATAATAATAATAATAATAATAATAAAAATAATAATAATAATAATAACAAAATAAACATGAATAGTTAATATTACTTTTTGGTTTTACTTGGCAAAGACAATTTATCTACGGATGTTTTTCGTGTGTTTAAAAATTATCTAAAACTTAATGCTAGTGCAGAGTGCATCACACCACCCTTCCCCCACAAAAAAAAAAAACAATTAATGATTCTTATGTATTTAAATTAAATTTAAATTTATAACTATGGAAGACATATCTACTTGCCTTCTGAACACAATCAATCTTAAATTTAATAATAATTGGGAGAGTATCACTGACCGTTTTCATATATTTTTTTTTTTTTTTGTTTTTTGTTTGTTTTTTGGAACATTAATTTATAATAATTTATATGTATATATTATTGATGTGCCAAAAAAATAATACAGAAAAGTGTAAGAGAATAGAACACTAAAAAGGAGATCAAACAAATTGTATTAACAACTTTTAGAAATTTTTTTTTTTTTATGACAAAAAAATTAAGTAAAAATAATTTATTTGTAGTTTAATGGCACGTTTGAAAAAAAAAATACATGGAAGTACAGAACAAAAAATTTTTAACTGGTGATGAAATTTGTCAGTCAGAAAGAAAATTAATTTATATTGTATTTAAATAATAATAATAATAATAATAATAATAATAATAATAATAAGAATAATAAAAATAATAATAAAAAAAAATTCATATTCATAGATCACAGTATAAGGATAAGCATCTTTTAACAATTTTATTTATCACATGAAGCGTATTGGTTTTAGATCGTCTTAAAATTATCAACATACGTGTTTTAAAAATGGTACTTTTGGGAAGTCACTTCTCCAAAAAGACATTTACCCCACAATACTTTATAATACTTAAAAAAAAAACTATTTAATAAAATAAACCAACAGATATTGAGATCTACGGCTAAACTAATTTTACTGGTGATTTTTCCAAAAGGGATGGGGAGGGAAATTTTAGAGAACTAATTGACATTTTTTTTGTTCTGCAACATAAAATATTTTAAATCAATTATTTTTAAAAATATTGCTAAATGAACGTTTTAACAAATTTTATATTGTATTGCAACAAAATTGATTGTATTTAGAGATCATGTTATTGTGCATGAAAAAAACATTATTTATTGGAATATTGTATGTATAACATAAATATATATATATATATATATATGTTTTTACAATTTTATTTTCCAATGAATTATATTTCAAGTCTTCATAATTGAATTTAGAATAAACTGACTTAAACACATTGCTAAAACAAAATCAAAGTTACAAATGATCACTGAAAATGTATTTCAACATTTAGTATGCGTATGTGTATGTGTATGTGTGTGTGTATATGAATATTTTTTTTAAAATAATCAGTCTTAATTTATATACAAGCAGTCACAAAAAAAGAAAAAAGAAAGCTATTTCCCCCAAATTTGATTTAAAATATTTTATTTTAACTGAATATAGTGTCTACCAATTTTTTTATCTCTCATTTTCACTTCTTCATTATTAATAAATTTGAATTAAAGATATGCCCAACAATTCATTAAATGCTAAAAGGTAAAATTGTATAATTTCCTAACATTAAATAATCTAAGAAATTAAAATCTAAAAAAAATTAGGCAACAATTTTTTATGGTTGGTCATCGCTTAAGTCTTTAAAACGAAATACTGTTTTTGTACTAGTAACAATCTCTTCAAATACATGAAGGCCCATATACAAACACATGCGCATATACATTATTATCATTTTTTTTTATATTTATAGGGAAGATATTTTTGTACTTAACCATCTAATTTAAAACACAACAATAATAACAACATGGACAATAATCATTTTGCTTTTTTTTTCTTTTCATCTTTTACTTTTAATATATATATATATATATATATATTTATATATATATATATAATATACATAATATTTTTAGACCTATAAGTTTAACACTATCCTAAAACAATTTATAATTATAATTTTAAATTCTTTTTTTAATAATATAAAAAAAAAAAAAACATAGGAAGAAATTTATATATAATATTGTAGCTGGTGAACATGATAAAATTAATCACTAAAAATCTCATTCATAAATTAAAAACACCCCGTAACCGTCTTAATGTCTAAAGTCACAAAACTACTAAAATATTAAAATTAATTTTTAATCCTTATTTACTTTGGTAGTATACAATTAAAAATAAAAAGAAGAACTCACATTATAAATTAATAAAATAAAAACATTCAAGTCTTAAAAAATTATAGGTGTGCTGCCAAAACGATTACCCAGAGTCGAATGGCAAGCAGAATAAAATTATATATCTAAAATATAAACTTGGCTCGATTTGTTTTAAGCTTAATAAATAAGTCGATTAAGTGTTCATGGTGTTCTAAAACCTTATTATAAAAATGACGTTATATTTGGACTCAGTTATAAGTCAGGATTGTATGAATAAATATATATATATATATATATATATACACACATTTAACTTTACATTGTTTCACTACCTAAAAGATCACTAGGCATAAAAGAATTCAAAGATGATGGAGTGGTGCGATGTGGATCGATTTGGTCAGCTCCAGCCCCCCAAAGAGAGGATGTATTACCCGGAGGTCCTGAGTTGTTGCCACCCCACAGTTGATTATTGGCCCAAGTATCTGAACCCTGTTGCCCCTGAGAGTTGCCAATATTTCCATTCCGGCCATTATTCCAGTTGGGTTGTTGTTGTTGCTGTTGTTGTTGTTGAGCAGAATTGTTGCCACTTGTATTGCCCCCACCACCACTCAGATGTGTAAGTAACATTTGTACTTCAGCATCTGTAGGTGATTCAGCAAATATTGTTGTATTGCCAAGTACACAATTGTTCAACGCTCCTTGAGCCTAATAATAAAAAAACCAGGCCCCCAAAAACGTTTGTATAGATATTTTGCTAGTAAAATTTAGATATCAATAATAGATAGATAAAAGTTCTTTAATTTATATTTACAAAAAGTAACAACTAATTTTTATTACACTAGAATAGTTTTTTTTATTCAAAATGTAATAACAGACATTTTTAATTATTTTTTACTTAACTTATACGTCTTATTATTTAAAACCATGAAACAATTGTACTTTATTGTTAGTATATTATCTGTTTTGATTTTACATAATGTTATTTAAAAACCATTCTCTTTGAGCACAATAAATATATACTTTTTTAATAATGTTCAATTACTTAAAAATATTAATGCCAATAAATTTAAGATCATATATCATAATACCACAACAAACTTATTGATAATTATCAATAATAATGTAAAAATTACTTTCTTAGTCAAAAACTATTTTCTCTCACTTAGATTAAAAGTTAGTATTATGAAGGAAATTATTAATTTTTAGGTTAGTCATTAATAATGACTCATTATGTTGTAGTCAAGACTATTATCTATAACAGTTAATACCATGGCACATTTGTTTTCAAAATCTTAAAATAAAATTATACTTATAGACTAATATAAGTAATTAGGACACATAATCCATATTAATATAATTATTTAAAAAAATGACTTTGTCAAGATAAATTTTAGTTCCCGAGTAGAAATATAATTTTTTTTTAAACTAAATACTTTGCACAAATATTTTTAAAATAATTGGCAAAATTTTAGTATTTTTAACTTCCCAAAAAAATATAAACAAGAAATTTGTTCAAATATTTATTTAATGTAATTTATATTGTAATTATATGTAGCATTAAAATTTCTATTCAGAATCATCTATTAAAAGATTTTTATATCATTAACTTTAATTGAAAATTATTAATTATACCTAAATCCAAAATGTTGGTGAACTAATTAACTTATTAGACATACTCAATTTTATGAATATGAATTTATAAAATTAAAAATATTAAAAATCACTTACCTTGCTAGCTTCTTCTCTGGTCGAATATTTGGCTAATGCTATTCCATGATTTAGATACATATGAAAATTCAACAATGGTCCATGTTGAATGCAAAGAGTTTTTAATGTTGATCCATCAATCTATTAATTAAATATTAACATTAAAAATAATAATAGAAATTACTTATACATAGATATTCACATATTGGATTAACAAAGTTTTGAGTTGAGTTACTCAGTAATATTAAGATAAATAGTATTTTACTGAAATAATAGTTAGATCAAAAAAATATAAATAAATAATATATTTAAAAATAATATATATTGCCATAAATATAAAATTTACTTCAACTATCCTTATAAAAAAATATAAGATTTTATTAATAAATGATTATATTTCAATTACTTGTTGTGTTAGGTTCCTTAGCAATAGCCATGTACTAGCTACATTATTCGATGAGGATTGCCACGAAGTATTATTGGAAGGCCATCGAGGCCAACCATTATTAGGTGCATTTCCTGCTTTAGTAGAACCTCCAGTCAGTCCAGGTGGTGGTCCACGAGACTTACCACTAGATCCCAAAACACCACCCCAAAGATCATTTCCAGGATTATTATCAGCCCAATTGTTTTTTGGTCCATTCACTTTTCCAAGTGGACTAAAAGAAATTTTTTTTTAAGTTTTAATTAATTAATTTATAAGATTAAATATTTACTTACCTAGTAAATGATGATTGAGTAGATGAAGGAGGCGGATTAAAACTCCAAGTTGAAGATGAAAGAGATAATGGTGTTAATGGCATATCAACTGTTGATTGAGAATTAGTTGGTGAAGTCTTTCCACCACTATTGAACAAGTCTGAATTATTTGAGTCCTTAATTGTGGCTGCTAACGAAAGTGGACTACGCACTACTGAACCAGGTGTAATAGTAGGATCATCTTCAATATTTTTCATTTGATTACCCTAAAATATACAAGTTTCATTTAATCAATAAAATTTTTGAAAATAAATATAATAATTTGATAAAAATGTTTAAAATGATTTGCATTCTTTGTATTATTTATAGATGTTTTAAATTGTTTTGAGTAAAAAAAACAAACATTCAATTCAAGATTCTTCATACTCCGATTAAAAATTATTAAAATTTATAATAAATTTCAAGATAATACAATTATAAAATTCAACACCTAAGATTTAAAAATATAATAATAGATTTATTGACATACACTGTTTTCCAATTTTGTTTAATATTTTAAATATTGGATTATTAATAAAAATTCATAATTCAATTTCTAGCTACAAAATTTCTTTATCTTATTTTTAAGTTACTTGATTTTAATACACCTAAATTTATCAAAACAAATATTTTGCTTAGTCAAATAATAATTAAGTCTTGAAAACCAAAATATATAATCTCATAAATAAAATAGATGTTAATTATTGTTAAAATACTTAGTATTTAAACATGACAAATTAGTGATTCTAAATAAAACACAATGCATTCAAATTAAAAAAAAAATACTACAGAATTACAATGGTAAGGATTTTAACATTTCTTTTAAAAAAATGTAACTGTAAACAAATGATAATTAATTCTATAAATAAAAATATAAAGAATTTTGTAAATAGTTTTCTAGTTTTCTTTGTCTATATCTAATTTTGTCATAACTAATGCGGTTCCACTAAACGCAATGAAAAAAAGTATATTATAATTTATTAAAAACAAACTAAATATTTATACTATGTAGTATTTGCATTAGCAGGATACAACAATTTCAATATAAATAAATACAAAAAGAAAAATGAATTTGGCTCTCTAATAGATTTTTTTCGTTTAAACCGGTTCAAAGACTTAAACAGAACTTTAAAGTTTTCTGTAAGAAAATAATTGTTTTAATTAATTTCTAGGTAAAAAATAATTCAAGTATTTTCAAAGATTTTAGGAATTTAATAAAATTCCAACATGAATCGCTTATAAAAAATATTGTAATTATTGATCAGTTAATTGAAAAATTAACTTATGAAGACTTAATATTTAGTTGTCAAGTACTTCTACCTAGCACCAAATAATAATTTCTAAACTACATTTATGAAAAAAAAAAAAAAATAGAAAATAACCCGAGTTAAAATAATTTAAAATTTGATTGTGTAAGTGGTAATTTAAATTTTAAACGTATATTAACCAAAAAACAAAATCAATTTTTATTAAAAATTACATTAGCATACAGATTTTGATTTTTATTAATTATTTTAAAATGTTAACCACCATATGACTGCCAGCGGTCAATCAATATGGATTTGTTATACGCCAAATATATTTTTCAATGTTTTCCAAATTTGTGTATACTAAATATTTAAAAGAATTTGAAAAAAAAAATGTATTTTAGGTACCTATATAAAAAAAAAATGTAATAATTACTGCTACGCTAGTCCTTATTTTGACGCATTATAGCGCCTTAGAAAAATTAATAATATAAAATAATATTAATTTATGAGCATCAGTGGTCAAAAATGTATAAAATTTAAGAATTACAGATGACAGTCAGTGATCATATGGCAATGAATTAATGTGTTGAAAAAGAGAACTTGGATTTTTTAAACTACTTATTGTGGGCATATTATAAAATCAATTTATTCATCGTTCCACTCAGTATCAAAAATAAACTAAAATTGAACAGATCAATAAAAATTTTTCATATAAATGGTTATTAAAATAGAGATGAGAAATACAGTTGTGATCTTTTTAATCAATTAAACTTATAAATTCTACAAAACAGTAGGTCTTTAACAGTAGATTTATTTCAATAAAAAAATGTAAAATATAATAATTATCACCTTCCACGGTTTTCCTGGTTCAAATTCTGGCACAAGATCAGTAGCAAATGCAGATGACGTAGAATTAGACTGTGAATTTGATCCATTGTTGGGCCAAATATCTTTATTGTCTTCAGCATTGTCTGGCCATCCACTATCAGAACGAGCACCAACATTAGTCCAAGTACTAAAATTATTTGGTAAATGAAATAAAAACGAATTACTAAATACTTGCTTATTTAATATAATAAAGGTATCAATCTAGATTTATAATGATTGTAGGAAATTTTGAACAGTTGTTATACAATAAATTCAAAATAATAAACATTTAATGGTTCATTTGCTACCTTTAAAGAGAATTTGAACACAATTGTTTGGTTAAAATTATTAATTCTTATTATTATAATAAAGATTTTTCTGAAATTGTAAAGTCATTTCTAAAACTTTTTTTGGGAAATTTCAAAATTCAGTTTTCATAATTAAATACATCTGAGAATCACTTATTACAGATTTATCAAATAACATTATTTTACAAGATGTATTATATTAAATTTACCCATCTCCTTGGCTAAGTAATGAATTGAATGTAGGAGAAGTATTTCCAGGAGTAGATTTAGAATTAGCTCCTGGTGCTCTGCTAAAATCATTACCCATTCCTAAATCATCTTTATCTAAATTAGGTAACTTCCACTGATTTAATCTTGATTGTTGACTTGTTTGGAATCCTTGTCCACTCTAAAAATAATATTAAATGAGATCAGTTAGTACAGATAAAATAAATCATAAGAAAAATAACAAAATATAATCTTACTATTTGAGAATCTTTATTCATTGTTAAATCAGAAAAACCAGATTGTAAAAGTGTTAATGGATCATTTTTGAAGAAATCACCAACCTGCCCACCCATTAAACCTGATAAACCAGAAAAGTTAGACTGATTTTGGTGGGCTTGTGCCTTCATATGCATGGCTTGATTGTTGGCAATTTGATTCTATAATTACATAATATTACTAAAGGTAAGTAATACAATGAGATATTAATTGCAAATTACTTGTAGTGATGCTATTTGTTGCCGGGCTTTATTGATGGCTATAGCAGCTGTCACCATGGCAGGGCCAGATTTGGGATTATTAGCAACAGCTGCTTGTATTTGAACATTTTGTTGCAAAATTTTGATCTGCTGCAGTAACTGATTAAGCATAATTAATGTCTGTGGTGCCAATGGCTGATTTAGTATTTGATGATTTAAATATCCAGCTTGCACAGCCATTTGAATTTGTTGCACTAACATTCGTAACTGTTGTGCAGTTGGTTGATTTTGCATTTGTCTTGAACCACCGCCCTAAAAACAATAAAACAATAAAAATCAATCTCAATTTAAATATTATCAATTAAATGTGTATACACTATAAAATATTATATATACCTGAGAATATTGTTGTTGCATTGTATTTTGTTGTGCAGGTGGCTGCTGTTGGGCTAATATTTTCTGAAGCATGGCTTGTTGTTGGTTAGAATTATTTCCAATCTTTAATTGAAAATTAATCGAATGATAAATACATAACATTAAAATATTCATATATTCTAATTGAACTTACAGATGGCACAGCAAAAGGTAGTTGTTGCGAATTAAATCGTTGTTGATTAATATTAGATCTATCAAATGGATTTTGATCATCTGGGTGTTGGCCACGACCACTATGTGTATTCCATGAATCTAAACCTCCTCCACCAGGACCTCTAGTAGACATTAAAAATTCTAATGCTTCTTCCATACTAATATTATAAGAACGTGTAACTGCTTCAACGTCTTCTTTCTGAAATTAGTTTTTAATCATTAAAAATATAATTGAATGGAAATTAATATAACTTAGTAGAAATAATTTTTAGTTAAAACTAAAGTACCTTGACTCCCATTTCAGCAAGAATTCTGTATGATTTACTTTGCCATATATAATCTTTATTTTGATTCTTTTGTCCCTAAATAATAAAAGGTATTAAAATGTATTTACAAACTAAAACTTATTAGTAGCATTAAGGCACATACAATATTCTTCTGTCCCCAGGAACTTTGATCCATATCATTGTTACCACAATCACCCCATGAATTTTTAGATTTAGGACCAGGTCCCCACTCAGAATTGGGCCAAGGACCACCTGCATTTCCAGTCAAACCCATTTTATCTTCTCCCCAAGGACCAGCAACATTCAAATCATGTTGACTTCCTCCACCAACATCACCCCATGTACCATTTCTAAAAATAATTAATATATATATGAGTAATGTTATTTTTAAAAAAATATATATATTTTTAAAATTACCTTGGATTTCCAGGCCATAATTGTTGTTGATCAACCATTTTACTAGGTGGCATACCTGCCCTATTTGGTGGAACACCTGGAGGGCATTGGTTACCCATATTACTAGAACCATTATTATTCCTGCCAGCTGCAGCAGCCACTGCAGCAGCCATATCTGCTTTACCCCAATGTTTACTCATATTGTGTTGAGTGCTCAATAAACCACCTAAACATAAATTATTTTTAATAAGTTATTCATTTTGAAATAAAACAATATTGTGTTAAATAAATCCAAAATTAAAAAATGTATAGATAAAAATTTAATTTTTAATTAATAAAACTTTTTCACTTGGTGTTATAGCCACAAATATTTTCTATTTATAACAATAAAACCATAGTAATACCTAGATTTTCAGTACATTTATGTGATTAAAATATAAAAAAAGTTTTCTTCAAACTTATACAATTTATTATTTGTATGAAAATATATAATATATATAAATGAAATAACAAAAGAAAGACAAGATAGAAAAGATACGAGTATTTCAATTAGAATAGTTAATATGTGCTTTAAAATTAATACAAATAAATCTTCAAACCTTTTATTTTATTTTTTTGGCACATGTAAACATATAATTACATAACTATTCTCAGTACTACAAAATTAGGGGAAATAACCTTAACATTAAAAACAAATAATAAAGATAGACTATAATATAACAAACTAAACACTAATATGTTTGGTTGTCTTACCGCCAGGCACATTGGGCCTAGTTTGAGTATTTCCCCATAAAGATGTGCCATCATCATAATTTAATAAATTGCGCCTGTGATCTGTGGGTGATGGTTCTTCCCATCCATTTCCTTTGTTGTTGTTATTCATAGGATTTAAATCTTTGGGTGGTGGTGGTCCTGACCACTGATTAATTACTGAAAACAGCATAAAGAACTTTTTGCTTCAATTCATAAAGAATCTATTTACAACCATTTGTATGAAAATGTTTTAAATTAGTTATCCACCAGTGACAATAGTAAAGCATTAATTAAAAATTTAAGCTAATTAAGCTTTTAAAAAATAAATATTACCTAGTATAAAGGTTATTTGTTTTCTTTTATACATAAAAAATTATTATAACTATTCATACAAATAATATATTAATAGTAATAATTGAGAAATTACAATCTCATTTCAGAATTAATACTATTTTCATAAATAAAAAAAAATAAAAAATAGTACTATTAACATATGAATTGAAATAACTTTTGAATATAAATTTTAAATTATGAAGTAATTTAAATGTTTAAAATGTAATTTGATGTATTATACTAAAAAATAAATCAAGAAAAATATAGTAAGTTAGTTCTTGCACTTGATAAAGTTATCTTTAAACATGTTTTTAACACAAATAATTTATTAACAAATATTTTTAATTGTAATTACTTGTATAACAAAACAGTCATTAAATAATACTAAAATATTCTCATAGTAAAATTATTTAACTTAACCACCACCTTCATTCGATGAATAAAAATACAATTGAGTTCTTTAAATTAAGCCAATTAAGGTATAAATGTATTAGTTTAAAACAGAACATAAGTGTGCTAACCAATTATGTATGGAATAAAACGTGAATTTTAATAATTTATATACAATCTAAAGGAATGCCCTCTTAACTAAAATACATAAAAATCAGAATGTGTACCTAAGGTAAGGCTTGAAGATTTATAATTATTTTACAATCACTGTTGGTAAATCATGCATCAACATCAATAATATAATTAATAATAAATTTATACATATTTATAATAAAACATGTACAAAGCTAATACATCATAAGTAGGTATACAACATACAGATTTAACTATAATTAATAACTCATGACTAATCTATTTATTTTTTATTTTTTTAAATATCTATAAATGTTATCAGTTAAGGAAAATCATTTTCAATACATCAAAATTTAAAATTTAAGATGTAACTTGCATAATATGTTAATCTGACCATAAGGGTTAAGTTAAGCTAAAATGTTTTAGTTATCATAATCAATATATCCTGCATGAATATTTTAGAATCTAATGAAAAAAATATTATATACAGGGCCTGTCAAAAGATTCCCATATTTCAAAAAGCAATGATAAATAAAGACATATGAAAAAAATTCATACATTTTTGAATTACAAATACTATACTATTTATATTATATACAATTAATTACTTAATTTTTAAACATTACATGTGTTAAATGTCTTCCTTCATTATTGATACACTGACGAAGCCTTTTCTAGAAGTCGTCCTTAAATCTTTAGTCATTTCCAGTGTAATGGTAGCCACTGTCTGGGCGATTATCACCTTAAGTGTTTATAGGAATGTGGAGCAATGACACTAAATATACACTTTTAAATATCCCAAAAAAAAATAATCACAAGGTGATAAAATGTGTGACCTCGAAGGCCAAGTAATGTCTTCTCGCAAAGAGAGAAGGCCAGAAAACAACTTTTCAACCAAACCTACATCAGTTTGCAAGGAACCATGAAGAAGTCTGGTTCCAAAAAAAACGGAGCCACAGCTTAAACTTTGCAGTGTTCACTAGCAATTTTAAGAGTTGTTTCCTGGACATCTTCTCTCATTGCGAGGAGACATTACCTGACCCCTCCCCCAAAGTCATCACCTTATAATTTTTTCTTTGAGGATATTTAAAGGTTTAATTGTACAATCATCATTCTACATTCTTGCAAGCACTTAAAGAAGTAATCACTCATGCAGTGGCCACTGTTATACTGGAAATGACACGAAGAGTTAGGCTAGTTAAGGACAACTTCCAGAAAAAGCTTTGTAAAATATCAACAATGAAGGATGGCATTTAATGGACATATTGTTTAAAACAAATTAATTAAAAAAATGACAGAGTTTTTTATACTAACCCCGTATAAAAAATATGCTGAAGTTAAAATAGATATTTTCAATGTCATAAAAAATTATATTTTTAATGAATAACTGAGTTACAAATATATAAATATATTTTATTTACAAATTCATATTTAAAGTAAAAAATTTAAGCATTAAAAATATTGTATTAATTATGTGTAAATAAATTGATAGATAAAAAAAGGTATAACTTAAAAATTTTTATTATTATTATTAATAAAATAAGAAAATTAAGCTGATAAGAAAAACAAAATTTTAAATTAACTAATTGTCTTAAAATGATTCAAATATTTTTAGTAGTAACAAATACTATGAATAACATATTAAAAAGTTAAAACTGAATTTTAAAATGAATTCCATGCATATTGTTAACAAACAATAAATTCAAATAACATATTTGGACATCAAGTTATTCAAGTTAGCGGCCTTCAATAAGTAGATTAGTTATCCTTATTAAATCCATAAAAACATATAGTTTAAGTCATAAATCAAAAATTTTAACTAGTTATATGCTGAAAAAATAAATTAGTTTTGATTAGAAAGCATTAAAATGCAATCATTTTTTTTTTTTTTATAGATTTTTATTAATAAATTTGATTTACATGACTAAGTAGTACTTATTATGCTTTTAAATATAAACCCTTTAATTCCAGTTGCTTATACTTATTAAATAAAATATTTAACACTACCTGGCACAGGTCCTTGTCCAAGTTTTGCCCCTGGTGTAGCTATAACTGAAGGTGGTGGTCCAACTGAAGGAGGTTGAACATGATGTTGCATGTGATGTGGTGGAGGTCCACCCCACATAGGTTCCATACCAGCACCACCGCCAGATAAAGTACCATTCAAACGACCACTTATACCACCTCGAGCATCACTACCAATTCCTCTGCTATTAACAAATAAAAAAATATACAATTAAATTGTATTATTTAAATAGTAATGTTTTAATTTAAGATTATCTTAAATAAAATATTTGCATAAAAAATTACCTATGATCAACAATTCCATTTGGTAGAATATCTCGACGATGAGGACCCTGATCAATAGATCCTGGTGGCCGATTGAGATCATTCCATGCAGTATTGCCAGAATTCCAGGATTGACCTTCAGGCCCAATGTCTTTCTTAGGAGGCCCTCCCCACATTGGACCACCAGGCCCTTGTGGAGGAGGTTGTCCTTGGCCCCATTGATTGCTCATATTAGTAGTTGGATTTATTCCCCAGTTACCAGTATTTGCTTCTGCTCCACTTACACTACTAACATCATCATCTTCACCCCAAGTACCACCAATATTGGATGCAGGGGTATGTCCCCAAGGAGTTTTAGATGTATTTTGCACTGGAATCTATAAATAAAAAAAGAAATTATAAATACTAATGTTAAAATATTGTAACCAAAATAATAATAAATTACTTGTATTGGAGGTTGTCCACCATTTCGTAAAGTTGCTTCCCACAAATCTGTACCATTATTGACCTTGCTCCATCCAGGACCACCAGTTAATCCTGTTAATGGTCCATCCTTAGTATTAGGTTCTGGACTATGCGGAACATCCCACTGACTATCTTGATTAACATGTTGGCCACCCCATCCATCTTGAGCATATAAAGCTTCTCGCATTGTATTTATTTGTTCCAATTGTTGTTTAGTTGAAGAGTTAGTAGCTCCATTTCCACCATTTGTTGGAGGTGAATTGCTAGATTGAGGATTAGAAACTGCACCAGAAGTAGTACTAGCTGTAGTAGTTGTTGTTGATGAATTACCAGTAACTTGAGGTACTGAAGAAGCAGGTAGATTTTTTCCAGCCGCCTGAGCCCATGATGTAGTATTTTGTTGATTAGTGGCCTGTGATGTAGAAATAGTACCATTGCCGTTTGATGAACCAGGGTTTGAACTTTGTCCTTTATTACCTATCAAAAATTACATTAATAATAAGTACTTCAAAATAATAATAGAAATATCCTTACCTATATTAGATGTTTGACTAGTATTATTTGAGCTGGTACTAGAGGACTGTGGGCTTTGTTGCCAAGGGCCATTAGAGACAGCATTTGGTGGAGATTGGCCATCAACAAGTGGACTTGTATTCCAATTCGAAGTACCAGTGACAGATGCGGGTACTGGTGTAGTGCCAGGATTTCCCCAACCAGCTGTAGCTGTACCGTTACCAGATGCCAGAGTTGTTTCACCACCTCCTAACAAACGACACGCAATGGAAATACCCCAATTACGTTTGTACTGTGCGATTGGATCAACATAAAGTTTGTTAAATGGAATGGTTTTGTACATTGCGCTTTGATCATCACTGTCATTATCACTTGTTGAACAATTAGACTTAACCCTAAAACTAATAGTAGTAGTAACATCTTTAATGTGAGCACCAGAGTAGCAAGCCAGCAAGGTTCGTTTTCCAGTTCCCCCCCTTGTAGAACTATCAACGTCACCGGCAGTTACCATCGTACCATACAAATCCTATAACAATTAATAAAATATAACAATCAATTTATTTTTAAGAAATATTTTTATACTAGTCGTTTAGTTTATAATAATAATAATAATAAAACAGGTAATTACTTTAAATCTAAATAATTTAAAATAAGTAATACATGCGTTAATGAAATAATAATTGTATTAAACTAAAAACTCAATTAAAATATGAAGAACTGAATAATTTACCTGTGTTTGTTGATGGGACGGAGGATCTCTAGTAAATCTAAATGTTGAGCTGGATATCACAGACCAATTTAGGGGGATGGTGGGCAAATGCAATACAAACGATGGTGATGATTGTCGGGAATGGCAGAGGGAGCCAGCTCCTCCTCCAACTACCACCCCGGTAATCTTATTTCTTGCTATTACAGCAAAGTGATCAGCCTTATCAATGACATTACACCATTCTAATTTAAAAAAATATATCATTTCAATTGTATAATTTTTAAGGATAAAACACTTAAAGGTCATGATTTGTTAATTTTTTTTTTACCTGTACTTAAAGACAAGGCATTATCACAACTTAAGTTGGATGGTAAGGTAACTTTTGTGGCACACACGATATCATCCTAAAATAATATAAATTTCATTAAATCTACTAAACATAAAATAAACCGAGCAAATTTAATGAAAAAAAATAATTATTACGCCTACCAATAGTTTAAAAAATAATAAGCATATATAAATAGTGAATTAACAATTAGGAGTATTAAAATTAATTTCTATTCATATCAACCTATATAATACAAAAATTCATAAGAGCGAAACTATAATATTAATAATGATGATATATTAAATAACAAATAAAAATAACTATCTAAATAATATAAAGTATATCAGAAATAAAATCAATAAAATGCTTTATATTTTACAAGGAAATTGTATATTTAGTACTAAAGAATCTATAATATATTACCACATAAAATATAGGTATAAAAAAAAGAATAAATAAATATATATTAAAAATTTCCCTTTAATTTAAATAAAACTAACATCAACATAATTTGTTAATGTCAATCATCTCAAAATATCTATAACTTTAATTTTATAAAACTAAATAAAAAATACTTGTTTGACTAATTACCATCAAGCTCTTATTTCCAATTGTCTTTATTTTCTCCTGGAAAAAAAAAAATATTGACTTGAAAATATTATAACTAGTTAAATATTATTAAATTATAAATTGTTAAATATATATTATATGTTCTAAATAAAATGGTGAATAATAGTAATGTACCTATGTATTGTGTAAATTACCAGAACAAGGTGCAAAATGAATAACAGCAAATTTAAAGGAGACAATTTTTTTTTTAAGTAATATAATTATACATATTGCATTTTTATCATAAATTTCCAAAGAATAAATGATTTTTCTTATCACTCAAAATGCCAGCTGAGTAAAATAGAAATGAAATGGTTTTGAATGAATTTTTTTTTTTTTCTATAGGTCAATGGTAAACATTCAGTACTTTAATAAATATGTTTAATTTAAATTCTAAGATATATTTTAGACTTTTTCTAAGGATATTTAATTATTTTATTTATATTACAGTAAAACCTCAAAAAAAAAAAAAAATAAATAAATAAATACTTTATCAACATTTATCGAAAAAAAATTGATCTATCTTATTTCTGAAGGCATAAAGCCACTATCTAAAAGGGGATACAGTCTGGTGGTAATTTGAATTTAAAAAAAAAAAATGAAAATTTTAATTTTTACAATACCAAACCTTTTTGAATAATTTACCTATTTGTTATTTGTATGAATATTAAAAAAATAAAAATATTATGAATATTATTTTTGTTCTTTATTTAAAAAAGGGGGTTTTTAATATGTTGTTACATTGCTTAATCTTAGACAAATTAACCAATTATTTAACACATAATAATCAATGTATGTCATTAATACTTGATTATGTAAGTTGTTAGTTTCATATTTTAAACAGATATTATAAATTGGTACAGATTGAGGCATAAAAATAAAACATAGAGTAACTTTGATACATTTATCTAAAATATTTCCTTTACTATGAACATACATTTTATCATTTTTTTATAAATGAATATTATTAAGAAAAATGTATAATTATTACCATTAAAGTACTTAACATACTTTTACAAGTTATATACTAGGCAACAGTTTTTTTTTTTTTTTAATACTAATATTCATACAAATAAATTTAATTTTTAAAGGATCTTAATTTGTAAGCTTTGTGACAATATAATTACTAGAAGATAATATAAATAGGTGAAAAAAAATCATCGAAATACAGAAAATAAAAGACAAAAAAAGTTAAGTTATAGCTTTACAGATTTATATAAGTACCTAACTATTTAATCATAAAATTATTAATTAACATTAAAACAAATGATAAATAATTAGTTTTTACAGGTTTTACCAAACATATTTCATATAAACTGATAATATGTATAACTTAAATAACCTAGAGTTAGGTTAAGAGTTGGAAGGATATCTTGTATGAAGTATTCGTAAAATTGATGATTATTTTATCAGAAATCTATCATAATATTTTATATTATTATATTATTAAACACAGTAATTTAAAAAAATGCCGTTTTAATAAACAATTTAACTAACCTCTTTTAGTACAGCACTTGAATCATTTATATCAGATACACATATTATAACCATTAGGCTTAAAACTGTTTATTCTTTGGCAAATTGATGCATATACCAAGTCTGAAACATTAGAAAAAAAAATTAACAAATATGCTCTTGGTTAACCTAACCACAGGTGTTTACAATATAATATTAAATAGATTGATTTGATAAATAGTATGAAAATAGACATCTGTTTAAACACAGTAGTTGACAATAGTATAACAATACTGGAAAGAGTAAATTGTTAATTTTATCATTTACCTATATGTTTTATAAGTCACATATTCTTATGTTTTATTCAAAATTTGAATTGTTTAATGATTTTTCAATTGAAGAAAGCAATCAAATTCAAAAATTCAACATAATTTAGAAAGTGCCTACCTATATAAATATTTTACCTTTATTAAATTTTATTTTAAAATTAGAAATCAATTAAACAATATTTTAATATTAAACATAAAATTAAATAAAGATGCTAATTTTTATGTTTATTATGCATTAGATCTTATAAATATGATTACCTAAATTAAGTAAGTTTTAATGGTGTTGTCATCTTAATTCTTCATCCAAATATAAACTACTTATTTATTTATCACTAAAATATAAACGTGTTTAGTAAATAAGGCTTTTAGTAAAAATAAAAAGTGCATTTAATGAGATTTCAAAATTATGATCATAATTAATCATTTTAAGACATTATACCTACATGTGTTGTCTGTCTTACTAACATACACCATACCAAATTTTCATTTAACAGAACACAGAACATATTTTATATTGTTAGCTTTAATATTGGAATCAATTTACCTATCATCTAACTTAAAGTATATGACATGTCCTAGACAATAGTTTAATCTTTAATTTTGATGATAGGTGAATTGAATCCAATATTAAAGCTAATATAAAATGTGCTCTGCTGAACACAAATTTGCTATGATGTATATCAGGGACAGAAAAAACATATGTGGCTATAACATACCCTTTATATATTTATCATTAATTAACAACTATATATTGACTCTATAATATCTATTTAAAGTCAATATATTTAATTTAGTTAACAGTTAAAAACTTAAACTATTTAAAATAATATTAAAATAGGATGACATACCCACAAATGTTTCCATCTTATAACTAATGCATAACATACCAATGTTTTGATTTAGCAGTTCCAGTTTTATATTTTTACCTTAAATATTGAGAGCCAGTTGATTAAATATCAAATTTAAAGGTAAGAACATATCTATGTTCTCTTGTTGGCTTTTTACAATACTTTTTTATGCAACTAATGTGCATTATAAAATTTTAATATTTTACATACTCATAAAAGTACAAATATTACAAAAAAACCAATAAAAACACAGATAATGTTTTTACCTTAAAAGTTTTATGATAGGTTAATTTATTGTAACATTTAAGGGTACTATAAAAAATTGAAACTAAAAAAAAAAAAAAGTACTGGTATGTTTGAGTTAGTAAGACAGAGACAACCTATGCAGGTATAATGTCATCTTAAGGATTAAGTGAGGAAGTTTAAAATTATGTTCATAATTTATCATTAAATATATTCCTCATAATTTTACATTATTATACACCATTTTGATAAACCTAAGTAAAAAATAATACAAAAAAAGATGATATTAAGTTAACTTTATGACTTAAATATTCAGTGAGAGAGTTCAAAATTATGATCACAGATAATCATTTTAATACATTTCTCATCATTAATTAACAATAAAGTGACAAAGTTATAAATGGATTCAAATAAATACAAATTTTAATACTTTTTAACCAATTTAAACATTTACATAAACGTGTATTAGTAATTCTACTATAATACCTAACTTAAGTCGATAAATAT